CGTCGAGATTTCGCTTGAAGAGCTGGCTCTGGCAGCCGACGAGAGGCTGCGCAGCGCCCGGGCGGCGCGTCGGGGCGAGCGGGCGTCGAGGCACCTCGCACGATCGGGCTCTATAACTATGCTTGGCAAGCGTCAACTCGAGGATACCTGAAGGCCTTGATTGTTGCAGTCCATCAGGCAAGGCCCGTGGCAAGGCCATAGCCGCGCTTACGCACCTAAGAGCCTATCGCACACCTAACCTACAGCTTCTTGCAGCCGCGCTTCGCGAATTCCGCGGTGATCTGCTTCGCGTTGCAGATGGCCGGGAAGAAGTGGACCTGGCCCGGCACGGCGCCCTTGGCGATGGCCTCGGGCGAGTTGGCGCTCTCGCCGGGGCCGACGTTCCACTGGTCCGACGGCGTCTGCGTCTCCTTGAAGTAGATGAGGATCGGGCCCTGGGGCTGGTCGATCCAGCCGGCCGGGAACGTGTCCCAGTTGACGAAGGAGTCGTAGGTCCATTTGTTCGCGCCGCCGACGACGATGTTCTCGCCCGTGTCCGCGCCGTCGAGACCCTTGAGCTCGAAGGAGTCGTCGTCGAAGCAGAAGTCGAGGCGGAAGGTCTGGACCAGGAAGAGCACGCCCAGCAGCGTGATCGGGACGCCGACGAGCTGCACGTAGGGGATCTGGTCCAGGAGCAGGCCCGCGCCGAGGAAGATGCCCGCGAGTCGGAAGTCCTTGTCGACGACGGCGGTGCCCGGCGCCGCGGCGACGGAGACGTCGCGCGCGCGCGGCGACGCGCGCGCGCTGGGCGACGCGAGCGCGCTGCGCGGCGGCGCGAAGGCCGCGGCCGCGGCGAGGCCCGCGACGACGAGCAACGCGGCGCGCATCACTGTGTGCCGCGCACGAAGATCGACGGCGGCGGCGGTGGCTCTGCGAGAGCTCGAGCGTGCACAAGATCGACGGCAGCGCGTGGGGCGCAGCAGAGCGAGAGCGCGGCTCCTTTGGCAAGTTTGACAGATGTTTGACTCGCATTGAAGTGGCTGCCCGCGCGCTCGCCGCTGCGATGCGCGCCCTCCTCCTCGCCGCGCTGCTGCCGCTCGTGGAGCCGAAGATCATGTGCTCGCTGCATCTCACGACGAACGTCGACGGCGAGGAGGTCGTGTACAAACTCGACTACGCGGACACGGAGGAGGGCCTCCAGCACGCCGCCCGCCAGTTCGTCGAGGTCGCCAAGCCCATGCTCGACGGCTGCGACACGACGGCGTGCATCATCGACGTCATCGCCGAGCACGCGCGCGCCGAGGCGGCGTGCGACCACGACGACCCGGCGGACCGCGCGGCCGCGGCGGACGCCCAGGCGCGGGCCGACGCCGTCGCCGACGCCCGGGCGCGCGCGCGCCGGGCCGAGGAGGAGGCGCGGGCGGCGGCGGCGGCGCCGAGCGCGGCGCAGATCCAGGCGGAAGCGGACGCGCGCGTCAGGGCCGACGAGGCCGCGCGCGCGAGGGCCGACGCGGCCGCGCGCGCGAGGGCCGACGAGGCCGCGCGCGCCCGAGCCGAGGCCGAGGCGCGCGCGAGGGCCGAGGCCGACGCGCGCGCGCGCATCGAGGCCGAGGCGGCGGCGCGCGCGCGCGCCTACGCGCAAGCGCGGCTCGAAGCCGAGAAGGCGGCGGCCGCGAGGGCCGAAGCCGCGGACGTGCGG